TACCAACACTATGCCAACCTAGCAGTTCGAAAGCAAGAAATTGCAAGTAGATAAATAGGTACTGCTTCGCGGGGAAGGTAACAGCGTTCCGTGCGCCTCGGTGTTTAGTCATGCCGGCCACATGACCACGGAAACGTCTTCGGACAGCGCTGGCACTTCGGCTTTGAAACGGAGATGAGCGCCGCAACCCTAGAGTCGGATTCGACTGGCTTTCGAGCAAGGGAACCTGTAGCTTTCGACTGGCTTTCGAGCAAGGGAACCTTTACCTTTACTATGTGAGCTAGATAGCTGGCTTTCCCTTCATTGGTCAAAACAACAGGAGGAGGAACTGAGCAATTTATCAAAAGTAATCCCCCCCAGCAACATATGACACCTCATACTATAGCTTTGGATCAGGCATCTGACCTGTCAAAACAGACATAGCCAACGGAGGGGGTCAAATGTTTTCAAAGCATTGCATTTATCGGAACAAAACAATCCTTTCTTATCTACAGGCTTGAAACTTAATGGGCTTGTTTTTGTAATGAACATATAACTGTGACGCCGAAGCAATGCAGTCAAGTTGTAATATTTTATTATAACTTTTAGCGACGGTAGGCGAGACTGCCGCACATAGGGAACAATTCTCACTGTCTGGCTTTCCTCCTGGAACAATAGGGACACTTTTACGGAGATTAAAAAGAAATGAGATTTTTCTGGGGCTCCGGGATGCCTGGGAGAGGGGCAGGTATCTAAAGATTTCGAGCCAATGAATATTAAAGAAATAAAAGCAGAGGTAAAGCAAAGCCATGGCCAGTATTAAAAACGAGAAAAGTTTGTTTGGAGATGTCTGCAGTTACACCCGGTGGCCAGCAGGAGAAGCTTTGGCGCGCTGCTCAGCCTGCGCCCGGATGCCGATTGGCCGAGAGTCAGCTGCCCCTCAGCTCTGACCTTGCTAACAAAGCGCACCATAATGACATTTCAAAAGGAAGCTGCAGTCTACTCATTCTTGGCTTTGTGCAGGAGTCTGACCATGGTCAATTAATGAGCAGTACACTGACTATCCTGGGCTGATGTGCCAAACCATAATCGGTGTTTGACATTCTTCCATAGTTTCAACAGTGGTTTGTTACATTGCCTCTGAGCTTTTGTCTGCCGGAATCAGCTGCACGGGAATGTTCGGCGTGGCTATGTTGCAATCAAATGGGGAAAGATGTTTATTCAAGGAAATGGGGGACGCTGGCTTAAAGCAGAGATGGCGAAACGTCTGAAACCTCGCAGGGTTAGGGTTAGCTGCCAACTCTCCCCCTCCCCAAATATCAAGAACAAAGCACTGCCGAGAGCCAGTGTGGTGTTGCAGCTGAAGTGTTGCACTTAGGAACTGAGAGGCCCAGGATCAAATCTCCGGTCTGCATGGGTGACCATGGGCCAGTCTTACGGTCTCAGCCTAACCTACCTCACACAGCTGCTGTGAGGATAAAGCGAAACAGAGAAGAGTAACGTAAGCAGCTTTAGGTCCCTACTGCAGAGAAAGGCAAGGTGTAAATAAAAATGAAATAAAATGCCTGTGCTCTATACTACAATTTCAAAAAGCAGCACACAGGAGGAACAGCCTTACTGCCTCACAGCTTTACATTTAGTGGAAGTCAGGGGGAAGTAAAAAGGTAAAGGTTTCCCTTGCTCGAAAGCCAGTCGTATTTGACTCTAGGGGGCGGTGCTCATCTCCGTTTCCAAGCCGAAGAGCCAGCGCTGTCCAAAGACATCTCCGTGGTCATGTGGCTGGCATGACTAGACACCGAGGCACATGGAATAATGCTGTTACCTTCCCACTGAAGTGGTACCTATTTATCTACTTGCAATTTCTTGCTTTCGAACTGCTAGGTTGGCAGGAACTGGGGCCAGAGACAGGTGCTCACTCCGTCACGTGCCACTCAGGTCTCAAACTGCCGAATTACTGGCCTTCTAGTCTGCAGTTCAGGATCTTAACCACTGAGCCACTGAGTAGTTGTAAGTACATAGGAGAGCAGTATCCGGACGGAGCTGTGGCTCAGCGGAAGAGCCCCAGCTTGGCACGCAGAGGGTCCCAGGTTCAATCCTCCACATCTCCAGTTAAAAGATCTGGCAGTAGGTGATGGGAAAGACCTTATGAGTTCCCCTCGCTCTTTTTCTACGAAACGACCCCTGCTGACCCTTGATGACCCTTGAGGGACCACTGGTATAAGGCCTGTGTAAGAGCCAAACCATGATTCCCCCCCCCCCGCAAGACTCGTTCAATCACTGCACCTTTTCCTGAACTACAAAGGCTATGCTTTAAAAATCATTCCTGCAACTAGGAAACCAAAGGCCTCTGCAGAGATATTATAATTGTTTCTTCTTCTTTAAAAAAAATAGGAAAAAATCTAACTACAGGATTTTGGAGCGATACGAAATCACCAGCACGTTTGATTTTTATTGTATTTGCATCCGACCCTTCTCCAAGAGAGGCAGAACACACAGCAGCACCTGCTTTAGACTCAAAACACATTAAGCTGGGACAAGGGTGACTGGCTAAAGGGTACCAAATAAGGCTTGAAGCTAAGAGGAAGATTTGAATACTATAATTGTTTCTTCTTCTTTAAAAAAAAAATAGCTTTTTCCCTTTGATCAAAAAAATCGAACTACAGGATTTTGGAGCTTCTGGCGAGAGCCGCTTGGCCTCCGACGAAATCAGCAGCATGTTTGATTTTTATTGTATTTGCATCCGACCCTTCTCCAAGAGAGGCAGAACACACAGCAGCACCTGCTTTAGACTCAAAACACATTAAGCTGGGACAAGGGTGACTGGCTAAAGGGTACCAAATAAGGCTTGAAGCTAAGAGGAAGATTTGAATACAGGTCTCCCTGGTCTAAGCTGAACACTATCATTTCCCACTTCCTTATAAGGAATGCAGGGCGACACACCTGGTTCTCCCCTCCCCTCTCTTCCATTTTGTTCTTACAACAACCCTGTGAGTTTGGTCAGGCCGAGAGGGTATAACTGGCCCCAATTCCCCCAGTGAGCCTCAGATCTTTTCTTTTTGAACAGTTTTCATAGCAAAACAAACAACACAACCATATATCTAAGCTACATAATCATAAACATCTAAGCATATCCAAGAAACAACAAAAGCCTTATGGAGTCTGCCTATACTACGCAAGAAGTAGGTAAAAAAATTTAAACTAACAACATTTTCCCAACAATGATACCCACCAGATGTTCAATCTACTTTGATATACCTTCTTTCTGTACTCCTTGATCTATCTCCCTCTATGTAGGCATAGTTTCCAATGCATTGCTATGGCTGGTCATGCTACTGCTAATAATAAAGAGTCTGTTTCTGTTTTTGTCCTGTTAACTAGATCCTCCGACCACCAATTCAGCAAAACTGTCTCTGGGAGGCAGGGTAAGTTACAACCAGCTATGATTTGTATCTCCTTCAAGACCTGCCCCCAAAAGACCTTAATATCATCACAGCCCCACCAAACATGCAAAAAGTCACCCAACTGAGCTTCATATCTGAATGGAGATCTGAACCTAGATTTCTGGAGTCCTGACATTAACTACTGGCCACCAATGCACCACACTGGTTCACAATGACTCCTTGGATTCATTCCCGTCTCCTGAGAAAGCTCACCTAGAGCACACAGCAGCTCAATGACTTCTGCAGTATTAATGGAATAAAAAGTCATTTCTCGATCTCAGGAGAGATAGCCGAATAGTTGTAATATGACCAGATGACATATGGGCACTTCAGTTCTAAGTATGTTTGCACCTGCGTTTTGTTTTCAATCACTTCTGGGAACAGAGTTGAGAATAACAGTACAATCCTATGGAGAACAAAGTTGGCGTCCAGCGGCACCTTTAAGACCAACAGAATTTTGTTCAAGGTACGCGCTCTCGTGTTCCTGCAGGGGACTCAAAATTTGTTCCGCTGCTTCAGACCAACGCTGCTACCCACCTGGATCTAATCCTATGGAGAGTTACTGCAGTCCAAACCCACTAATTTCAGTTAAATCTGCACAGGATTGCACCAGAAGGTTCCAATACTAAATATGCTGACTTGCCCAAAAGTAAGCCCCCACAAACACCTTTCTCAGTAAACCTGTAAGGGAAGTGCTCCGTGGATTCTTATAACAGACAGATTACAAATGTATTATTTTACAGGGAAGAAAATCCAGCTAATTGCAAAGTGACTAGTTCAAAACTACAGCTCGCCCTACGCATTCAAACCCACAGCTGAAATCACAAACTGCAGAGAGCATGCAGGATTTCTTTCCTTTTTTTTTTTAGTCATGTTTCCAAACTACGGCACTACACTGTGGTTGAGCGGCTCCCTTTATGACACACAGAACCTGCAGTTCCAGAGAACAGCTGCTGTTTCCTGAATAACATCATAAACTCTGAACTAAACAACACCGACCAAGTGTTTCTCCTTCACTCCCTAAACAACAAAAAATCTTCAAAACACACACGCACACAGGATCTGGTCACAACCCAACACAGAGGCAAGCATATGTCAACCCAATGCAAACAGACAGACTTAAGCATGCCTGACTGTGTGATCTATGCAGGTCTACTCAGAAGAAAGCCCCAAAGTGTTCAGTGCGTCCAGCTGTCAAGCAAGCCTGCATAGGAGACTGCTGTCCCAAACTGCCACTGGGCACACACTTCTTTGGAAGGCTTCCACTGACATCAACGGGATTTACTCCCCAGTAGCACTAAAAGGGAAGGGATTAAGGCTAAGGAGGAAGGCTGTCGCCGCTGACGCTTCTTACCAACCCCCAGCACCAGCAACGGGCCAGCTCTTTCCAGAAGCACAGCCCTAAGCAGAGCTATATGCTTCTAAGGCCACTGAAGCCAATTGGCTTGGAACGGCGTAACTCCCTTCAGCGTCGCGTTGTAGGTGTCAGGACGGAAATCAAGAGAGGCGCGCAGTCGCTGCCCGAAATTAAAGTGACAGACTTCGCCGTGTGATCGTAATCCCGGCGGAAGCCCTTCTTACCTGCAGTCTTTAAGCCATATTGCAATCTTTTCATTTGGAATGTTGCCTGGAGAATAGAGAAAAGGGGGGCGGGGGGAGAGAAAAAGCAAGGCATTGTAATTGAGGGAGGCCGCCTTAAAAGTCAGAGAAAGGGTTTTTTAAAAAAATGCAAAGCAGGAAATCGGCCGTCGGAGGGAGGGGAGTGACACATCTCATTTTTTCAAATACAATTCGGCGCCCTGCACTTCAATCCCTTCCCAAGCAAGATTTGCTCGTAAGTAAACTCGGCCGAACATCTCTCTCCCACACTCTCCGGAAGCAAGCCCGGCAGAACTGGGCGAGCACACGTGTTCAAGGCTGCGGGATCGGCAGCACCGCCGGCCTTCCCGATCACAGCGTACTCGACGGCTGCAGGCGCGCCCCCCTCCGCCCGATCCTAGCCACGTTTACTCAGAAGTAAGCCCCTTACAGATCAACGGGTCTTCTTCTCACTAAACGTGGTTAGGGACCGCAGCAACGCGGGAGGGGGGGGATCGGCCGTCGATCTTTCCGTTTCAAGCCACGACGGATGCGGGAAGAGGGGTGGGGGGTGGGAGCGGTGCTGGGACACAGACCTCCTTCCCGCTCCGGATTCAGCTTCGGCGCTTCTGGCGAGAGCCGCTCGGCCTCCGACGCTTGCCAGGAGTCTCGGCTTTTGGCCCAGGCCTTCCTCTTCTGGACAGCCCCCTGCTCCCCGCCGCCCTCCGCGGCTTCCTCCATCGGATCGTCCCGGCGGGCTCCTGCTCGGCGGGGCGGCTCGCTCCGCGCCGGGACCGACGGACCAAGCGGCTGACCGCCCGCCTGTCGACCTGCAAAAGCCAAATCCGGAGGCGGGTCGAGGCGGGCTGGGGCAAAAGCGACGCGGGGCTCCCGCCGCGCCAAGTCGCCGACCCGCGGAAAGTCGACTGTTTCCTCGGCCACGTTTGCCCGGGAGGAGGCGAGATCGGGGCCACCAGCCGCGGCAGTGCGGGCGTCTACCGAACATCTGCCCGGCGCACCGCTGGCGGGGAGCCTCCAGCCCCCCCGGCGCTGCCCACCATCCCGCCCCCCCGCCGCGCCACCTCCGGCTCCCGGGGCTGCCCAGCGACTCTGCCAGCCTTCGCCACTTGCGCCGCACAGTAGCAGCCAGCGAATCCGCGGGGAGGGGAAAAGGAAGCTGAATTCTGCGTTTGCTACCTCCCGGCCGCACCGAGATTCCTCGACTCCCTCCCGGGCCGCTTCTCCGCCCGGGCTGCTGCTCGCGGCGAGGCGCGTCGCGGAGGAAACGCGTTTCCCGAACAGCCGGGATCTTTGGGAGCGGGATCCGGCTCCCCCTCCTCCGAAGCCGGGGCTGGGCGAAGGGACGGCCGGGGCAACCTGCGGGGGACTTCTCGTGCCGGGGGAGTGCGTTGCTTTGCAGAGGCCCCGGGCGGGGTGGCTGGGGACGCAGGCAATGGCAGCCTCGCCCCCACTTCCTCATACCGAGGCGGCGGGAGGCGAGATTGCCGCCGCCCACAGAATGGGCCACACGGCCTCGTACTCCGTCTGAGACGGTGGCGGGCGCCGCCGGGGAAGCCGCGAGGTCGTGGCAGCCGCCTTATCAGCTCTCCGTGGGGCCGAAGGGCGCGGGACATTGTATTCTGTCCAGGGCGTCCGTTTCGACGTGCGAACAGAGTGGCGTGTTCAGACCGACCACCAAAGTTAACAGCCTTCTAAAGTCAACGGCCCTGATTGGGATTTCACCGGCAAAGTTTTATGCGGGGTATAAGCTTCCGGGAGCTGCGGTGGCTCAAGTGGTTAAAACGCTGAACTGCAGGCTTTGGAAGGTCGGTAGTTCAGCAGTTTGAGACCCGAGTGTGCCGCAGGACGGAGTGAGCTCCCGTCTCTAGTTCCAGCTCCTGCCAACCTAGCAGTTCGAAAGCAAGAAATTGCAAGTAGATAAATAGGTACCACTTCGGTGGGAAGGTAACAGCGTTCCGTCCGCCTTGGTGTTTAGTCATGCCGGCCACATGACCACGGAAACGTCTTCGGAAAGCGCTGGCTCTTCGGCTTTGAAACGGAGATGAGCACTGCAACCCTAGAGTCGGATTCGACTGGCTTTCGAGCAAGGGAACCTTTACCTTTATAAGCTTCCGTGTGCAGGTGCGCTTCTTCAGAGCATGCACGCATAAGGAAGCTTATAGTACACAGAGCAAAACTTTGTTGGCCTTCAAGGTGCCCCCTGGACTCCAGCTTCGTTCTGCTGCTTCAAACCCAACAGGGCTACCCACCAGGATCTAGGGTTTCACTGCTAGTGTCCTGGTAATCTCTCTCACACAGTTTTCTTGACCTGAAATGCCCAGAGGAGCTCCTGTTGGCCCAGTTGAATAAATTTGTGTAAAATGCTGGCTTACACGTTTGTCCTCAATGGGGCCATTTCAGTTTGAGAAAACAGCACTGGAGCCAGGGCATAGGTCCACTCTCCCTTGCCTGCCCTGGCCCTGACCCGGATTAGGTCCAGGCACCTGGGAATTAAATTGCACCATGGCGCTCTCAGAGCTGCCCTGGGAAACAAAGACCCCTGTGACCCCTAAGCTTCTTATTTCAGCCACGGGAATTGGGAGTCCTGTGGCTCCTGAAAGGGGCAAATCCAAGGTTTCTTTTTCTTTAAGATGAAACATGGTAACAGGCTGGTTTCCAGTGGAAATAGTAGCCAGATGAATCCTCTGCCATCCAGTGGGTAAGAAAGAAGGGGCTGAGAGCGCTGTTCCATTCGACCTTTTCTCCAGCCCCCTTTCCTTTAGCTAGTTATCCTGTATCTAACAGCAATGGGTTGCCTTTCCCCATGGATCAAAAAATCTAGGCCTCCGGTATACATGTCTGCCATTTCTGGATTATCCCAAGTTTGCAGGAAAGACTGCAACTTTGTGCTGCTGCTTCAGACCAACACAGGCTGCAGTCACATTAGCCACGCTACAGAGACGTAAGATAGGCGGATTTTCCAGGCGCGATAAAACCGCAACATCTGGGAAGCGTAGAGCTCCTGTGGCTAACCCGAGGCTTCCCGCCGAAGACGCGCCGTAAAAAACTAGTACCTCCGAGGTACTAGTTTCCAGAAACTGCGGGGCAAGGGCAGGCGTCTGAGCATGTTTCCGGTGGTAGCTCGTGGCATCCGGCGCCCGCCCATGTCCCGTTGCGAAAAGGTTTTCCCCCCCAAGTCTCCACAGGATGCGCATAAGTACCCAACGGCGCATGCGCACGAAGAGGAAAACGAAAGTTCCGTTGCTGCGCAGAATTGTGCATGCCGTTGAACGCGAAACCAAAAGTTCCACTCCTCCGTCCTTCGGCTTAAAAGAAAATAAATGACCCCATTTGCCACAACAGCAGCGCCTAGCCATTGCTGATGTGATCGCGCCGCGCTGCTTCTTTGCCGCGCTGCAGGATCGTCATGTGATCGCCACCCTCATTTACCCACCGGCGCCCAGGGAAGGACCCGTGGTGTGCCGCCGGCACATCTGATCGCGTAATCGCAGATCAAACTGCGCCAGGGCAATTAGCCACGCCTCCCCCCCGCGATATCCGGCCCGTGTGACTGGGGCCACAGTACTCACCTGAGTCATTCTCATGTTACAGTCAATGCCTGCAATAGCTGTACTTGTCCCTGGTTTCATTCCTTACAACATGGCGCTCTCATGTGATAAAGTGATCTGCCAACTCCTGATTGGCTACCCCAGGAGGGCTGCTGGATTGGGCCTCCCCACTGGCTGCCCAAAATCTGCCCCCTGCGGGCCCACCCTTTCCCCAGGGCTGCCGCCACTGCTGACGCTCTTTCCTTCCCGCTAGCCACCTGCTCGTCTTGCCGGCGTGGCTGCCACCCCGTGGCTGTTCCCGCCCTCTCCTCTGCTCAGCTAGCTGCCTAGGGCTCTGGCCTTAGCGTATTAGGCTGAAACCCCAGCAGCCTCCTCTTGTTGCTCTTTCACTGGGCATGGTCTGGGGGTGGGCCAGCAAGGAGTCCAGGAATGGTCCAGCCTCCGGACCACAATGCGTGCCCGAGAATGCGGTGCTGGAATGTTAGGTTAGTAAAATGGAACACACCACTTTGGGCTGCAGGGGATGGACAGGAGCTTTGAATGTGCCTTTGGATACAAACCTCCACGCCGACAGAAGACCAGCACAGCAGGAACAGATGATGTACACATGCCCCTTGCTTCCTTCGCTAGTCTTCTATTGGTGTGTAGGAGAACCTTCTGAAGCGTGAACTTCCATGAGAGAGCCAGCATGCGGCAACAGTTTAAAAAGTTGGATTAGGACCTGTAAGGTCCCAGGTTTGACTCCCCACTCTGCCATGGAAGCTTGCTGGGTGACTTTGGGCCAGTCATACACTGTCAGCCTCACCTACCTTACAGGGCGGTTGTGAGGATAACATGGAGGAGAGGAGACTGATGTATACTGAAGAGAGAGGAACCAGGAGGCACAACTCCCTCCTTTCCCCATTCTGAGGCATAGGTATCTGGGGCTGACCCCACACGACGGCAGACAGGCCCCCTCTGGCCTGGCCAGAGGGGAGTGTCACAGGGGTGTGTGCCTTAGCTCCAAGTAAACATCTGTAAGATTGATTGCTTCTGTTTCATTTATATTATAATGATACTAGAGGTGTTGCTGCTAAAGAATTAAGATGATTCACATTGCAGTCCTGAGCAGAGTTACACCCTTTCGAGCCTGAGCTTAGAGCTCTCCTTTGGACTGCAGGGTAAGGCTACAATCCTCAGCAAGATTGCTAGGAAATACTTACTTTTGGGACTGGTTTCTGAGTAAATTTGAGTAGGACTTGCGGCTATGAGCATTTGTAGACTCCAGCACCAGTGTTCCCTCTAAGCTGAGTTAGTGTGAGCTAGCTCACAGTTTTTTAGCCTCCGTCTCACACATTTTTGTCTTAGCTGAGGAAGGATGGCTCCAGAGGAAACTAATGTATGCAGTAGCCAGATCGCTCACTCACAACTTTAATGCCAGCAGCTCACCAAGTAGGATCTTTGCTCGCAAGATGCCACAGCTTTAGAGGAAGCATTGTACACCACTCATGGAAAAATTAACAGTTCAAATTAGATCAGTAAAACGTCAGCCAAGTGCAGATGCTGCTTGGAATCCATTTTTATCTTTTGTCAGCCAGTGCTCAGCAGTTCTTCATCTTCCGTTTCATTCTAGGAATTTGTGGAAAGACGTGATTTAGTAACGCGGGTATGAGTTCAGGTGGGTAGCCATGTTGGTCTGAAGCAACAGAACAAAGCCAGAGTCCAGTGAAACTTTCAAGACCAACCAAAGTGTGGGTCCACACGAAAGCTTAGACCCAGAATAAAACTTTGGTAGTCTTAAAGGTGCCACTGGACTCCAGCTTTGCAGGTTGAGGTGATAGAGCTGCAAAAACACCTTGTTAAAACTGTAAAGCCAAATGTAGAACAATAATTGTAAACATTTTATTTTCTTCCTCCTTTGTTTTGTATTTGCCTTTTTGTTCTCCTGCCTCATTCATCGTGTTTTGTTAGATGTATGATTATGTGTATTTGCGGTGTGTAATTGAGTAATAAATATTTAAAAATAGAGTAGGAGTGGGTTGTACAAGCTGTATTAAAGGATAATACTGCATTATATCATTTAGACCAGGTGAGGACCAACAAGTACCTGTTACAGTAGTTTGGGACCAGGGTTTGTGGAGTACCACTGACTATCAGCTTGTCCCATTGCGTGCAAGCACCTCAAGCACCAAGAATACAGAGCATCACTTGTACCAAACTGAGAATTCCTATTTATTTATTTGTTTGTTTGTTTTATTAGATTTATATACCACCCTCCACAATGGGCTCAGGGCAGTGTACAACAATTAAATATACAATTAAAACAGTATTAAAATAACAATTTACACATAAAATCATAAAAGTTGTCAGATGACTAGTCAGAACAGGCCTGATGGACAATTGGCCTGAAAAAATTGGGCAGAAAAAGTTAGGGCCAGGAAAGCTGGAGGGGGGGAGAGGGGGGACGTCCGCTGCCTCAACCAAATGCCCGGTGGAA